ACGTATCACCATAAATCTTTAATAAAATAAAACGTTCACATTTTTAAAATCCAAAGTAAATCAATATAATCATATAATCAATATAAAAAAGTGCACTAGTACTTACTATAGTTCGGCCGCTTAGAAAGCGACCTCCTCCAGCATTGGTTTACCAATAGCGCGCAGGTACCATCGCATTTGTATGGTCGCCATTTCAAAAACAGGTAAAATAGTATTAAAATTATATAAGAATTTTGTCTTAGTCTTTGTGGTCCATCCCCCTTAAGGGATTAAACAGTGATAATAGCTTAAGACAGTAGATATTTATGGCTATTATATTATTGATATACCAAGTCTCACTACTTTATCTATATTGTTAAAAAAAATATAGCCAATCCAGGACTTTTCAACCATACTGTATAACGCCAACAAGAAATTTTTCCGTTGAACTCCTCCGAATTTCTTAGGTGATTTTGACCATTCATGTCTCATTAGAAAGAGCGTGTCACGTACATTTGCAAACCAACCTTACATTTTTAAATCCCTTGGGCTCAGCCCCAGCGGCTCATGTTATGAACCCGTGTTATGCCTATGAAGAACATATTGATTTATTTATATTAGGATCAGCCCAGTTAATTGCTGTTATGCAATTCAAGGAACTATAATGTAGGTTACATTATTAACATGTTACTGATTTGTTTCAAATACTATATTTACTATTTCTATTTGGGTTTGCAGGATAATTTAATCCATTTTACCAAACAATAAAATTAATGGACAAAGTACTATATTTCATGAGCTATCATTGAAAGGACCGATTGAAGTCCTCATCAACCAAAATAATGCCTACTAAAGCAATTAAAATTGAGACGAACATGCAATGCACGAAATCAGGTGGTTCTTAAGTATGTGAAAAAATGTATCGCTATTCAAAAACAGACGGAAAACTTGTAACCATATTCTTGACAACGGGTGTAACCATGTAACATGGCTACATTATCAATGACAAACGTGGACAACCTTATACGAGTGTGAGTACGTCCGAAAACAGAGTAAGTCCGAAAACAACTCTAAAAAACAATAAGCAATAAATTGCAAGAACCGTTGCATATATAACATTGGGTACGGTATACACGCATCCACTAACGTGTATACTCAATGCTTATATCGAACTGTTATATGTACATCGTGAGTTGTTCCATTAGTTGTTTCATTTAGTTGTGTGTCCATTAGTATAGTAGTTTAGTTGACTCTTTTAAAGTCGGCGGAAATTGTGACTGTTATTACCCTTGAAATAATGTTTGTGAAGTACTTTGCAATCCAATGCTTATAGAATCATACGATTAAAATTTTCTGGTTAGAATGTGTCGCATAGAGTGGTGACTAATGTATCTTTTTGGTTTGCTTGTAAAACAGGATCAACAGAGATTTTCCATCGACTTAAACAATACGATACTCCCAAATTGTTCATTGCAATAACAAAATATCACACAGTTTGATGAATATTTGTGTGTACACCACATACAGTACACCTTTATTCTATCTATTTTACCTTTTATTTTTCCAAGACTTTATAGAAAATCACGCATTACGTGATCAGTGAAGAAAAGGCTGTATCCCATGTGTTTTATAGGTAAAGAAGACAAGGGCGCTCCTAGACATATATTTTGGGGGGGGTCACCGGGGGCCTGGGGGGTATGGAATACCCCCCAAAAAGGAGGGGGTCTTGGGGTTCCCCCCAGGAAAAATATATAAATAAATAAATATACGCTATACAGGGTGATCAACTCAAGGAGGCCACCATTGGGATATCGGAAACGGTAAAAATTAGAGAAAACTTAAAATGGAAGACATTCCTTTATTTTTTGTGGCAGTTTAAAATATGATTTTAGTCGTTTGAAATTCAGCCGCCATTTTCCAAAATGGCGGCCAAATTTGAAATTTCTTATCGAACACCCTATATTTTATCATGTTTTCGGACATAATAGGCAGTTTTAAAACTTTTTTATCCTTGACATTTTTTCGATAAACCCACTCGTTTAGGAGTTACAGCCTATGGAAAAATGACTTCCGGTGTACATATTAAATCATGTAGCTCCTAAACAAGTAAGTTTAAAGCAAAAACACGAGGAGTAAAAGTCTTACAATTGCATCCACATTCCAACAAGACCATAAAATTAATTAAAAATAGAAATTATATTATTTTAAAAAATGGCGGCAAACTTGAAAAGTGGAAAACTTGTTATTTTATAGTCTTTAAGGAATGAAGATGCAATTCTAAGACTAATTTACTTTTTGCAATTTTGCTCTAAACTTACTCGTTTAGGAGCTACATGATGTAAAATGTACACCGGAAGTCATTTTTCCATAGGCTGTACTCCTAAACGAGTGGGTTTATCGAAAAAGTGTCAAGGCTAATAAAGTTTTTAAATTGCATATTCTATCCGAAAACATGATAAACAAACTAAAATCATATTTTTAACTGCCACAAAAAATAAAGGAATGTCCCCCATTTAATGTTTTCTCTAATTCTTACCGTTTCCGACTTCCCAATGGTGGCCTCCTTGAGTTGATCACCCTGTATATATGAATTTGAACGGATGGTGTTTTTGGCCTCTAGGGACCTCAAAACGAAAAATTAAATCGGTCCCGGGTCCAGGTGTTACCATAAGTACTACGGTAATAGCTTATTCCCTATATGGGAAATTCGCCAAAAACCTAATAGTTATATATAGAACAATATTACATTCAACCAGCTGTTAGTTAAAACAAATTATATGGGACTAAAACAAATCGATGATTACAAAGATTCCTTTAAAAAATAATTTGAACATCCTACTATTTTTCTATGCAAATTTAAATAATCTGCCATCCTCATACCTAGGAATTGAATGTATCAATGGTCAGCATTACACATAGTATAAATAAGTCAACTCTAAATATGTCTTTAAATTTGTTTCCAAATGCTGAATTTGTGTCACAAATGCTGAATGTTTACAGCTGTTATGCTAAGCAAATTATATTGTACTAAAAGCTGGCTTAGGTTAGCGTCGGCTGCTAGACTTTAAAAAAATTACAACTTAATTTCTAAAAAACTGGGACCCTTAATTATAATTATGGCTTTGACATTCCCTAGTTCTCAAAATTATCTTTCTTTCAACACAAAAATAATGAAAATCCGTCGACTGGTTGATTCAGAATGTGAAAAAACCATATTTACGTTTTAATAATATATATGATAGTTTGGACAGGTTTCAACCCTTCCGAGGCGTAATACATTTACACAGTTTATGTGTAGACTACATTATAACTTATAAAATAGTTCTAAAATTAAATGGATCTCCTTTTACAAACGTATATAATAACCAGAAATTTTCAGATCGTCCTTGCGTGTATTTTATGCCACAAATTTTGACGAAAGGCTTTTCATTACATCAACTATACCTATTTACAGTGTTGACCAAACAGTTGGCAAGAAGCATTAATAGTAGGGATGGACGAGATTGGATTTTTTAGTTCGAGACGAGACGAGACGAGATTTTTTATTTCTCATAAAATTTCGAGACGAGATCGAGACGAGATTTCTCTTCTCATACACAACGGGAAATGCACGTTCGAAATTTTTACCTGATTTTGTAATATTGTTAGATGACTGTTTAAATACTGAAATAATGATAATAGGCAAGAATATTTACAATCTTTCATTAAATAACATCAGCATAACATTTTTTTATTAATCACGCCTAACTTATTAAAAATGCCTACGATTAGGAAACATGGTGATATCAGTTAGGATAGAGTTCAACTTATCCTAAAATAAAATAAATCATAAGATAAAAGCAATATTAATTTTTATAAAATAGTTACTTGTTTTGACTTTTTTTATAGTAATAAAACATTCCTCACACTGCTTACACTTAACAAAACTTCTCAAATGTTATTAAAGTAATATTATTAAAATAATGAAAGTAATATTTACATTAAAAGAATGAAAGTAATATTTACATTAAAAGAATTAAAGTAATATTTACATTAAAAGAATTAAAGTAATATTTACATTAAAAGAATTAAAGTAATATTTACATTAAAAGAATTAAAGTAATATTTACATTAAAAGAATTAATTAAATAAGAACGCCTTCGAAAAGGAAACGCAACTACAACACGCTCCTGTATTGCGGGTATTGCATTGACTTTCTGCAGGCGTTTTTAATTTTTTTTTTTTTTTTTTTTTTTATTCTCGTCTCGATAAAAATCTCGGCCAAAAAGTAATCTCGTCTCGTGTAACGAGATTGAAAATTTCCCGAAAATTTCCCGAAATTTCGAGACTTGACCATCCCTAATTAATAGATAAGCTATGTACCAAATATGATAATTTTAGCTCTATTCTAATCATGACAAAACACGAAGTAACTAAAAGCAAGTTTTGTTGGTGTAGTAAGCGTTGCAGGAGGTCTACTTTACACTGAATCGACGTTCACTTTTATTGCTTTTGATCTTCCGGCACTGTTGACTCAGCGAAACTGAACTTGTATTTTACCGTATTTCGTTATATTAAAACTGCTGTTGCACTAGGTCAAATTCCCAATAAGTCAATTGCTTTAACATAGACCACGTTTTTAGCTCGGACTGTACTATTTGACTTACTGGGACTTTTGATCTACAGACACTGCAAACATTGTAGTTTTTGACCTAGCGGCACAGGTATAAATTATTTGATCTTCCGGGACTGTTGACTTTCAGCAACATTCCCAAATCAAATAACAGCAATAGCTTACAATAATCGTCCTATCAGTTAAACGTTGGCATACTCAACACAAATCAGTAATTTACACAGCTCTCTCAGCGGCTCATTTTAACTGAGTCCCTTCTAATAAAAATAACTAACACTTAAACATGGGAATGCAACGTCTATCGATAGTCAATGCTCTAACCCAACTTATTGACTACATTGATTTTAACCAGTGACAGACTACAGTGAAGACTACAACAGCTACCACCAGTATCACCTGGCGCACTCACATTGAGGTAGACGTAGAGGACGATCGCGCCAGAGACGTGCCGGGGGGCAACACAAACGTGCCTCTCCTCACAGGACGGGGGGAAGTGGAGTCTTGGCGCGCAAGTGCCTTTCTACCTAGCACCGGCGATGGCACCGGTGGTTCTGGCTTCACACTCAGCGTCCTACAACGAGAAAGGCACATGAGAAACAAAATCAAATATTGTGAGTGGTGAAGATAAAATAAGATTAAAATCCAAGGGTTCGGAAAGAAAAGAGGTTTATTATAAAAGAGGCAACCTCAATATGATGAATACCAAGGGACCAAAGCATAAATATGCTGGATCACAGAGAAATAAGGTATGAAGAAAACCTAACCTAACCATGATTGTTTCAGCTCTAGAAGGTTTTGCATGTGTGTACGTTTTTGATAGGGCTATATAGTTGTGAAGAGCAAGGAGGTGCCCGAACGGTAAGCACTGTATGGAAGTTCCTATCCCACAGGGTCTTTAAGTGTGGTAAATGGAGACGAGGGGATAAAAGGAGTGTGAAGGGGGTTAAGAGAAGACTTGGACTTTAATTTAGACGGTAGACACCAGCGACGAGTGCTAGACACTCTTTGAATGCACATTGAATGTTTCCGCTGTACCTTACTTCTATATGGTTGTAGGCCTAAAGAGTATTTTGTTCAAATGAGGTCCGTTACATTGAGCTTAGTTGAGCTTATAATATTGCTTTATCAAGGTTTACAGAACATCTCAGTTATGTTTTACCTCAGTTATTAATTTAAATTGTATACTGTATATTGATATAATAGGGAAACATAATAATCAATTAATCATACAACTTATTTAAATGGCACGTGAATACTACAGTACTACTTGACAACTACAGTAATTTGAAGGTTGAGATTATTGAGATATAGTTATATTACTTAAATTATCGTATAGTAATGTTGCAGTTGAATTTGTACAATGAGTTTACACTGTTATTTATACGTTCTTGACCATTATCATGCAAACTAAAAGAATTAAGGAAATATGAATCTTGAGGTAAAAGCAAGGTTTAAGGCCATAAGGACATGCTCAAGTTGGTATATTACACAATGCAATTTGTAAAAAAAAAAATTACTTTATCCTCAACAAGAAAACAAAACTAAAAATATAGATGGAAACTAATGCACAATCCAAATACCAGTCCACTACTCTTCTACAGTATAAAAATTCTTACCTATTCCACGTCCTTGATAGTAAAGCACAACATTATTGACACAACACTTTAATAGGAAAGATTTTGCAATTTTACTAGCAGAGGCAGAGCTAAGCGTAACGTAAACCATGCAAACACAGTAATATCCACCAATGGATAACACAGTAATTCATGTCATTAAAAGTATAATAGTATTACAACTTATATTTTTTACAATGATAATTGATAATGACGATGTTAATTACAATACTGTGCTGTATTGTTTGAAGACTGAATAAATGACTATTCATTTTTATAATCTTACAACTTTCAACTATTGGGTAATCAATCTCATTCTCATATGTCATAAGTCTTACATCTAGGGTATATAAGTGTTATGTGACTTTTGGTTGTGCAAATCTACGAAATCCTAGACTCTTAAATTTTCCAGGTAAACTAGCTGAAATCTATCCCTGTTCAAAGTTCCTTCATAGCTAATGTTTGGTAATTAGCACAATTGAACCTAAGCCTTCAGGTATTAAGAAGGTGCCAATGTATTGCCCCAAAATTACGACCCGTCTATTTGTACTCCTTTAAAATACCAAAATGAATACCGCATCTATATGCCTTATTTAAAAAAAAAAGATTCAAAGTACTCAAACCAGCTCAAGGTTACATTCTAGGATTTCCACAGCAGTAAGCGTAATCTTAGTCAACATTCCACAATAGCGATGCGGCTGCTACCTGACTACCGAATGCTTACTTGAGCGATGTTGGCGCGCTGGGAACCCTAGTAAGGGCCCGCGCGGGAGGAGGCATATGTTCCGGTGACAAGGACGGAATTATCGTTCTCTTCTCCACGTTGGCATACAAAAGTTCCTCGACTGGAGCTGTACGCTTCCTATACTTTTCAGACTTAGAGTGATGTTGATTGACACTTAGGAACGTGTTTCCGTTCAAGCTGCAACAAAAATAAACATTTAGTAGTGATTAATTACTGTAGGCCTACCAGTTTTATTTGGTTTAAGTATATGGCAATGGAATTTTTGTTGGGAAGATTCACAGTTTGAGAGGAAACAGTCCAAACCCTTCAAGTGTTTGTGGGAACACCTGTCCTTCTCACACCAAAGTCTAACCAATAGGCAACACACCTATTATTAGCCTATCTTACTTCTCAATAAATATATAGTTACATTGGCATTTACGATCAACTCAAATAACCACACGATACAGTTACATTGGCATTTATGTTCAACTCAAACAGAATAGGTGTAAACAAGAAAACAAAAACACAATGTGCTACAAAGGAAGAAAATAATTTTCACAACTCAAGAATTCAATGAACTTAGTCATGTTACATTTCTTTAAAATATTGCCCACAATCCATGGTATGATACTAACAACATTAAGTGTAAAACATCAAAAGAGGTGTGTAAGACAAACAGTGTGAACATTAAAAAACCCAAATGTCTCACAAACCTTTTTATAGACAGTTAACATCCATGAAACGCATGTCAAATAGAAAATCCAAGTGATTATAGCCATTCATTGTACTTGTTAATAGTATTTTAAAATATCTTAAGAAAATGTTCACGAAATCAACAAGTAGTAGTATCATAGACAAAAAAGAATTAAATATAGACTGTCAGCCGTGCTGCGGTTACCATGGTTACCATAGGTTCTGGCGCACACCGCTGGGAGCGCCCTGTAGTTATGTAGCGCTCCTAGCGGTGTGCGCCAGAACCTATGGCAACCACAGCACGGCTGACGGTCTATATTTAATTCTTTTGTCTATGGTAGTACACATCATCGAACATTTTGTTTGCATTACTAATCTTTACAAAACTGATAACTTGATGATACAGTTCAAGTTGAAAATCATTGTGGATTTCAATGATACTATTTGCAAAAGCATATGAATGAAGACTTGTCTTAGTATATCCAGGGGGGCTATATTTTTTTGGAGGTACTTTGCACAAAGTCTTACTCATCCTCATAACTCAATATGGATTCAAAACACCACAGTGGATTTTAATGACAATGACCGCAAAAGCCTACAAATTAAGATTTACTTGTATTATAATTTCGTTTGGTTGGAAGTAATGGAGTCTTACTCATCCTAAAGACTTTTTGTCTGGTTAAATAAACACAACTATCATTAATACAGGTGGACTTAACTATCATATGTCCAATCAGAAAGCAGACTCACTTGTCAGTTGGGGAGGGAGACCTAGAGGAGGCGTTGGAACTGTTAGAACTGTTAGGTGGCCGCTCCTTGGACGGGTTTCCAACAATGTGCTCCAACAACTGTCTCTGCGTCTCACTTTCCTTCTCCAACTGGAAAAAACATCCAATACATTAAAACGCCCAATACATCCAGACTTTCATACATCTCGGTACCTAAAGAATTTCCAAGATGAAACTCAGCTTATGCCATTCACAGTTACTTGTCTTGAAAATTTCAAATTCTCTCAGGTTAAAAACTTTATACATTTTCCTCTACCACATACAAACCTGATCTTGTCTGGCCCGTAGCTCATGTAACGCCGCTTCTTTCTGAGACGCCATGTAGCTCTGGAACACGGTCATGTTGTACAGCTTCTCTATGATGTATGAAGCTTCGCCTAGGTCTCGCATTCCTGACACTAGTTCTGCACAGTCTCCAATATCCTGAAACACAAAATATGATCATTAGTAAAAAAAAGATTTACGGAATGTAATTTGAGTGTCAAAATCGTGCACTAAAAGTGTTTGAATAAGATTCCACAATTTAATACCCAAAAGTTTATTGGATTAGATTTAGTTTCTTCTTCTATTCACCCTGTTGACAACCCAGCTTGTTTAGATACCACAACTGCCATTTAACACAAGGAAAAAAATCATAAAATAACAATCAAACCAAGAATAAAAGGATTATGCATGACTAACTCCTATACAATATAAATTTGTAACTTAGCTTAAGAAAAAAGTATTGATGATCTCTATTATAATACTTGACTAGTGACTACTTGTATTATAAATATTGGCAAAATACAAATCTTGACCCTTGAATCGAAAGCCAAAGAGGCACAGATCTTTGGGAATATGAACCGGGTTGAAGAGATCATGAATGGCAAAGATATCATTAATAGCACCACCAACTGGACCAAGAATACTGTAGTCTCAGACCAGGGTCTTTGATTAAACTTTATGCGGGTTTTGTGATTTTTAATAGTTTTAAAACTTTTTCATAATTATGTGCAAATTTGGCCAGAACTTTATCTCTACCAACATAACCTTACCTTGGACTCCTCCAGTTGCAGTATGCTCTGTTGAGACTCTGTGATACTGTCTTCTACATACTTCAGGTTGGCTCTCAGAGACTCTACTTCTTCTTCCAAATCTCTAATGAGGACTCTCTCCCTTGGTTGTTTCAGCCGCAACTCACTCAGCTTTCTCTCCTTAGCCGTCACTTGCTCGTTTAGACTCTTTCTGTCTTCTACCAGCCTAGAAAGAAATTGAACGTTATAAGAGATTTTAAGGTTTAACTTGTGTGCTTTCCCTAACGATAGCCTTCTTTAAGGTCTAGGAACCATTCATTTCAAATGGTTGAGCTCATTGCCTTAGGAAATTTCTACATGAAGGCCAAACAAGTATTTCCTTCCAGGGGTTGGCAAAAAAAGCTCTCTTCAACAAACAGGTTAAAGTAAAACATAATAAAACTGTCAAAAATCTGGCATTATCTTCGAAAAGTTTTGAACAAATTTATTTATTGCTACAATTTGTATAAAACTTTACAGTGCTTTTTTTCCAAGGAAGCCCATGACCCCCTCCCCTGTAGGTACCCAACATGAAAGTATTTCTTTATATACAAACTTGATACTTGGTATTTGATAAATACACATCTTAAACCTGATGGTTAATAGATTGAGTTCAGCTTTTGTCACCCCACAGCCCCCCCCCCCCTTTAATCTGTAGCTGTTCAATGGTTTAAATGTGGTTTCCAACATTTGGAAACACTCTCAAGCCACAATAATGGTAATAAGGATTCAACTTCACAGCACAAAATGTTTCACAATGCTTGGCAATGCGATTGGGGAGAAAAAATTGATGGATTGCAACATCTTCAGCAAAACACTGGGAATGAATAAGCTAACCTGTCAAGCTCCAATTCCAAGTTGGCTATCTGTTGCTTGTACAAAGTCTCGGAGTTGATGTTCTTCTGAAGAGCCGCCCACTTCTGTTTGGCCAGCCGAGGACTGGATGAGTTGAGTTTGGGTGGAAATCTGCCAGCAGCTTTACGACTCAGGTCTCCTCTAGCAACCTGGGAAATATTAGCCAGTATCACTGATTAAAATGGTCAGTAACAATTGTTAGAGTTAGTTATTGATATATTAAGATTATCCCTAAATTACGTTAATCAAATAAATTTATAATTGAATATAAAAACTAAATACTAATGAATCATTGAATCCATAAATCCGGGAAAACCCCGTTCCCATGGTCTGAGCACACTGGTTCGGAAACTTGTTCTAATAAATGTAGGTTTGCACTACCAAATTTGTACCAAATTTCATTGAAATTGGATTATTTTTGCTCAAGTTATCATGATAACAGACAAATATATATGAATTTTAACGGACAGTGTTTTATGGCCTATGGGGATATCAATACGAAACAGTAAATCGGTCACAGGTCCAGGTCTTACAATGAGACCTACTGTAATAGCTTATTCCCTATATGGGAAATTTGCTTAAGAGAGGAAAAAGGAATATAACGTGAAATTATTTTTCATCCATCAAAAGTCTTACCTTACGCAAAGCAAGAACCTCTTCCTGCTTTCTTTTCAGGACAACATCCTTTGCTCTCTTCTCTGCTTCTAGTGACCTAGGGAAAAATCAAATGATAACAAACTGTTTTTACACCGTAACACAACTGGCTGATGTACAATCTGCAACGATTACATTCAACACAAAATCACCACATATCTATAACTGAGGATAAACAGAGAAAGGAAATAATGGAGTCTGGCACAAGTTAATAACAATAATTTTCATCACAAGACCAAAAACACTACTAGATAAAACTAGGTTTGTCTATTTTTGTTGCCATTTTATTGTTCTAAAGATAACTATCCATAAGGGTCAATTACATTGCAAAGAAAAATTTCAAACATTTGCCTGCTTGGTGGGCAAATGTTAAACCAATTGGAAGGGCTGATAATTTTCTCTTGCTTTTAATTTGAGCTCAGGGAACAATTCTTTAACCTTCACTGTCACAAAAAAATTACCCCTTCCAACACCGAGGGAATACAATATTATTTACATTACATTGATTAAACTTTCAGTTTCTTACTTGATAGTAACTTCTCTTTTCCTCGATTCTTTCCTCAGTTGAGCAATTTCTCTGTTCCTTTTTGTCTCCATCTCTTTGTGCCTTGCTGTCTCTTCTCTCATTTTGTTGATCAGTTTCACCTAAAATCAGATAATATTGACCAATAACTTATGGACAAGTTATAATTTAGTTAAAACAGGTGAAGTAATTTACAGATAACATAAAGAATCACAAGAGATATAATGTAAAAGCCGATACATGTAATATATATTGTACATAATGATTCCAAATCGATATTGAATCTGCTAAACAATCATTGAAGGCTGATCTCTGTTCCCAATTAATTAATACTTTCTAAAAGGTTCTTTCCAAGCTTTTCAAACACCAATACATCTGAATTGTTCTCAAAGCTATGGGGATGGTTTTGAGTAATTGAAATTGATGACTCAATTTTTTTCTTCCATACAAACTTATTTTATGTGAAATAAAATTACCTTCCATTCATGGACAAAACTTTATAGCTACTATACCACCACAACAAGCATATTATTTGTTTTCAATAAACTTCCACTTTAGACCAGAGCTTACAACTTTGGACAAGACTATTACAAGATTTCCACATGTATATATATTTTTTTCACCCCTCAAATAATTTATAAAATTTGACTTTTAAAACTACACTAAGGTCAGCTATTTTTTATAGTATTTAAAAATTGCAAAATTGTCTTTTAAGCCAACACGTTTCCTCTAAGACACTCAGCTATATGCCTGTCACAAATTTCTAGTGACTTGTGTATATTGCAACTTGTTTCAAAAGGGAGTAAGCTGAGTGGTAGAAGGCAGGGTTTCAGTGCCTGAGATAGCAGGTTAAAATCTCGTCACACCAATGGCGTTTAGCTTTGGGTTACGACCCTATAGGACTAGCCTGAAGTTGTGAGTAAAACAGTTTTGGAATAGAGCCTAGCACGTAAAGATGGGACGAAGAAAACAAACAAAAAACCGAAGTTGCAACTTGCAACAGCTCACCTTGACCTTCTTCATGTCCATAACCTCATTACGGAGTGTCTTGATCTGGCTTTCGTACTGACTTTGGTTTCGCAACATCTTCGCATGTTCCTTCTTTGCCGTCTGCAACTTCTTCACCTCTTTCTGCATGTCGCAGAGTTTCCTCTCGTACTCATCTCTGACTTTCTTCACCTTCTCTGTTGGTTGGTTGTTTTGACCACCTAACAAATTTAATAAAATATTACAAACACAGAACTCTAGGTTTAAGAATGTGTAAGTGAAACTATCGATAGCACTGCTATAGAGAGATTGATAGTGATTGAAAGAGGATTTACCAGAATTTACATGAACCAAAATTGCCAAGAAAAGAGTATTTGGAGATTGGATTGGAATGAGACAGTCTGAAGCAAAGAGCTTTCGAGGACAGATTCAGAATAAGAATTTAAGTCAGGAAACTTTAATTAATAAATAATAATTGAAATGAAAAGTTTCAGATCTCAAAGAAGATGTAAGAGTTAAACATACACCATTTGAGCACATACTAGGAAGGAAATTAAATTCGGTCCAGTCTCTAAACAAAAGTCAAATCCTGTCCACCCCTAGATCTTAGCATCGCCATAACCAACAAAGTACATGAGTTACTCACTGAAGGACGCCAGCACAGTATCCCTCTCCTCCTGCGTGGCTCTGATCTTGGCCTGAAGCTGCAGCAGCTTATCCTCGTAGTGCTGCTTGAGAGAATGCAGTCTCCGCTGGGAATGTTCCAACTCCTCTATTAGCTTCTGCTTCAGGTTGATCTCGGACGTCAGCTCAGCCAACTCTTGACTGTACTCACTGTCCTTCTCTTCTGACTCTGTCTCAGACTCACTCTCTGAAAAAAAAAGAAATTTATCCTTCAGTGAACATTCAAAATGTCAACTGAAGAAAGAAGTTGTGCAGTGCAGTCTTGCAGTTGTTATAACACTTTTACCCCTTTCAACTCATTCACATTATTTATCAATGATTGTATGTATGCAATTTGAGGAGCTGCTACGGTCCCCTTCGTTTGTTATTGTGTAGGTGGATCGGCTTTAGGATTTTTGATGAAAAACCACACAGTAATAGTTTATGTAGTTTTAATGTAGATGAAAGAAACGAAAAAATGTCACATGTTAGGCTACACAACTTTACTAACTAAAGCCTACTTTGAAACTATATAAGAAGTAGTTGATACTGTTCAATAACTAAAATGTGGAGTGGTGATAGTTCTATTATGTCGAATAACTCGAGGATATAACGTGTAACGGTCGCTACGCTACTCAGTACGCACTCAACTCACATGGCGTCACAAGATGGCGTCGGCGTTGTCTGTTATCCACCGCGCACACGTACAGCTCACTCCCTCAACGTTCTATCTCAGACTGCCTTCACTACAAGAAACGAAATACTTTTGCAACACGCACCCCCTGGTGGTCTTTTTTGGCAACTCTGTACTTCGTTACCGGCGCTCCGTCAAGTGGCGCGCCTGGTGTTTAATTCTGCAAATAGTTATTGATTTGTTTTTTAAGAACTATCGCTGTCGTCCGTTTTCCGTTATTGAATTTGTGTTAGTCCTTAGATTTAATATTATTTAATTTTAAAGATTTGAACCATCACAGAGCATAGTATTTAACCACTATAATTTACAAATATACTGTTTTTAAATCCTCACCTTCATCGCTCTCCTCTTGTTCAGAGTCCTCATTGGCTCCATTTTTCTTCAGTTCTGAGAGAGCCTCTTTGCCTCTAGCCAGTGCTTCCATGTCTTTTTGTAGATCTCTCTTGGCCTGGAACACAGTAACAACCGAACATTACCTTGGGCAAATCCCGCCTTCCTTTGAAGGCCCCCAATAGGTAAGTAGAAAATATTTTAATGTTACTCAAATGAACAGTTTAAATCAGTATAGGAACTTGAAAATAAAATACAAAAAAATAAACAAACTAAAACAGGGTAACCCACTCAACTGTGAATACCTTGAAACCATCAATGAGCTTTGAATTCGGCTTCTGAGTTCAGAATCTGCGGCAGTCGTAGTAAAATCATGATCTATACACTGTTTGTTCACGGTTACATCATGATGACCTCTAACACAATTACCAAAAAATCATCCCTAAACCAAGGTAAAATAATTAAATAAACCTGTCTAGTTAACTTTGACCCATTTTCTTTGTGTTAATTTCTTATCTAAACTTGGTCCTGAATTTAAATAGCAACCAATTGAACTGGCAGATGTCAATTTCATATGGCTAAATCACCGCTGTGTCACTACACTGCTCTGTTTCTCTTGGTGGTTCACTACGACATATTGTAATTCTCCTTGAAACTAGCCTAAGTCCCATAACTCTTATCAAAGTCATAAAAAATATGAAAATACAGGCATGGCTATGAAAAACATTGATTTCATTTTTACGTTTAACTAATACCATACCGTCTGGAGAACAACAATATGCATAGTCCTGTTTACCTGAGCTATGAGTGAGTCTACGTTGCCGTTGGAGGGAGAGGTAGGCAGGGGAGGTCGTCCCCCCACTACTCCCTTGGCCAGACTCCTCCTTAGTTGTTGACATACGGATTCAGACTCTACCAGCTTGGCTCTCAACTCCTCGATCTCTTTCAGATAGCTCTGAATCATTTCCGTCATGTCACCTTCTGCACCGGCCTCTGTGGACAAGAAAACATGATACTTGATCAAAAACAGTTTTTCCTTTACATGTGTTTAGTTTACATTAAATGAACTTGTTCAAGGACAAGTAGATTGAAGGGGGAAATGAAAATAAAATATGAAACATTATTCTTCCTTCAACCTAGGACTACTCTAGGTTGATTGATAATTGTCAAAATTGTGACCTTTTGCCAATTATCTATAACCCATGAACACTAAATTTCGCAGTAAAGCTGAACATAGTGCCAAGTGCCATAATACTTATCAGACACCTGGCTTTCCTTTAAGATATAGACTACTAGAGTTAGTAATGAGAACCAAGTTATTTACCTGAGCTCATCCAGGCTCCAGTGGCCTTCTCTGCCAACAGCTGAATGTTCTTGGCACTGAGAGCATCGATGGTGTCCTGCATTGCCTTTACTCTTGTCCGCAAGTTGCTCAGCTCATTCTGCAGCATTGTGTTCTCGTGAAACATGTCGTTCACTGCCTCTTCCCCATCTTCTCCCACCACTCGCTTACCCTGCAACAAAGAAATCATTATCGATGAAACTAACTCCGTAGACTTTGGATACTAAAGCATAATATGACTAAATGGACCGGATAAGGCACTCTAGTGTTCCGGTGTCGTAGTTTTATTCAACATAGATGACTGAGCCAGTAGCAAAGTACTGAGGGCTGAAACAAACACTAAAGGAAAAGAAACATCCACTATTATACTAGATATAAGGACTACGATGATTGTGCATCGGGTTAATAATTGACAAATTTATCAGTGAGCACGGCGACTTCAAGGCGAAATTAAAGTTTCAACCTCTTGGAAAATTATCACCGTACTCACTGAGAAGAGCTGGAGACGTCACAATCAGATACTGATGGAGAGCCAGTTCTACAAAGAAGAAGAATGGGCATTAATTAATTCCTTTGACAAAACATAGAGAAGGTGAACCTTCTTGGAGGTAAAAATCCGTGTTAGAGTTTAGCTGCATGTGCCAAAGAATAGGGAGAAAGTAGTAGTATGAATTTGAAAGGAAGCTTGCGATATGAAGAGGTAAAACCTATTAGAAGGGGATGGGAGAAAAAAAATTTGATCAATATTCTAATGGTCCTAGCGTCCTAGCAGAAAGGTGTTAGGTAAGTGCAGATGTGTAATTGTGGGCTCAATTGGATGAAGATAGAAGTCACTCAAGAGGAAATTGAAGACTTTCAGGTATGAGTTCCCTTACTCGAGGCCATATGTGTGACTTACCTGTTTATACTCCAACAGTTCCAGTTGCAGTTCTTGTATCTGTTGGCGTAGCAGTGAGATGGTGCGAGATGATTTATCTTGGTTGATTGTCACTTTGTTCTGAATGTTGCGTGCTCGATTGGCATACTTGAGTGTGTTCAACGTTTCCATGAAGTCACGGTCGCTCGGGGAGACACAAGCGATCATCACGGTTCGACTATTGCCTGTAACAGTTTAGTTTCACATTAGATAAGATTTTTTTAAAGAGCTTCAAACAGTACTGTTCCGCAAACTCAACCACAAAATATGGTGTTAATCTATGAGCTCCTAAATCATGTGAATATCAGAATTAGTTCATTCTGAAAAAGTTTTGTGATTAAAAATATACCACCCAATAACCTATTGAGAAATCTCACTCCAAACAAACCATTGTTCAACTCTTAGAACACCCTTAATATCCAAGAGAAGCGTTACACCCAATAGAATACCATTTTTTGTCTAGGCCAATATAATTTCTTATGGAAGATATTCAAAAGCTTTTAAGGGAAAGTGGTTGAAACCCATCACATTTTTGTGGATGTGGGGTCAAACATGTCCTTCTAGCAGCCTATATTCTACTACTAGGCCAACAACACCCATGGATTCCATTGTGAATTCCCATTTGCAAACTACTTTTCCTTGAGGAATTCTTACGTCAATGCCTTTAAGCAAACTTTAAAATAACCATATCTCATTCAACCCTTCATACACCTCTGACATGTCTCTATAGATATGTTCGATTACAACAAATATTTTACAGCCTACCTCCCAATGAGTCTTGTAGCAGCCTAGTCAGTTTAGAGTCCCTGTAAGGTACGTGCAGGGCTCTCTTACTCTTATCACCCAAAGCTGAGATAACATTGCCCAAGGCCAACAGTCCACAGTTGATGGATATCCCTTCCTGTGAAACAACATTGGTAAGTTGAGAGGTCAATGGATACTGTAGACACGTTTATAAAAAACTCAGGTTAAAAAACCTCTTGAGCAGGTTAGGTTGGAGTGTTGAGTAGGAGAAAACAGTAAAAAAATTATTATTTTTGTGTCAAGATCTCCAACAAAATCCCTTAGTCTCCCATGGGAGATCAAGGGGACGTGGAAATTGTCAAGAGGATCCCATGGTTCAGTTAGATATGATATTTCACGGGAAATTAAATCCTTGAATGAAAGTACACAATAATTTGCACAACTGCACTGCTAAACCCCAGTTTAGAACCTCGGCCATTAGAAGAAATATATATGAAACTCTCTGATGAATTAACTTGTTAGTGGTTCACACACGAATACTATTACTTTGTGTCTAATATGATAAAATGTTGTTTGAGAACAAGCAGAATTTGGAAAACAAAAATCTTGCTGATTTTCAGGATATAGTTCCATAGACTTCATATCCAAAAAACATGTTAAGAAAGGCCAAGTGGCAAATTAAAAAACAACTATTTAAAATTTCTTAAGTATCTCAAAAGCCTCTGGATGATTATTTTATTTTAGGTAAGCAGTCTGTACTCTACCCTCTCCAAAAAAGTGGCGATTACTGCTAGATGATACGTAGGAAGTTACATGAAACCATGGACTCTTTGCTGAAGGTATTTTACCTTTGCTCTCTCCCCGGTGGCTCCTGTCCTCTTGAGCCTCTCTGAGCCAGCCAGATCTACAAAGTGAAACTTGGCACTGAGCGTCACAAACTCTTGACTAGCTCCTGTGTCGTTCTCATCAGTCTCTGACTCATCCTTCTGCAACATAACTTAAACAAGTCACACAACCAATGCTTCTGACTGGATAGAAGAAAGAAATTCAACAAGTTTTAGCGAGTTTCTTTATAAGAAAGCAGACTATTGGAAGTTTTTAAGGTTTCGGAACCATCTTATAAATATGGCCACCTTGGGGTAGCTAGCTCCCCATTAGTTTAATAGTTTAATAGTGAGTCGGTGGCTCAGTCGGTAGCGTCGCGGACTTCGGGCCCAAGGCAGCGATGTCGTGGGTTCGGATCCTGGTCACTGCCGATAACATTTTATCAGTACAGTTCACCTTTGTACTGTACCGGCTCACTCCTTGCTTTGCTGTTAACGATCCACGCACGGGCGCTTAGTCTATGTGGACGGGCAAATGCAAGGTTAAAAGAGGCCGCCAACCTCTTTTAAAAAAAAAAAAAAAAAAAAAAGTTGAGAAAACGTGTGAAGACGGGGTGGGGACAAATTACTTCTTGCTTCACCAATGTCCCCCCAAAAGAACCCATGTTAGAATCCAATCACCCTCTTAATTACTCACAGTCCTTAATATAATTATGTAAAACTAAAACAATATCTTTTTGTAGTATACACGAACCTACTATATACTATATCTATATATTTAATTTTGTAAGCAAATCGGTCCCCACAAAATATCTTGAGCTAGGAAAAAGGTAGCATGGCTGCTGAGGATTTGTTTTAAAGCTTAAGGTCCAAGGACGGTGGGAAAAAAATTACCCCTGCTCTGCCCCTCAGGGCGTCAAAAATCCAGTCAATGTCTAATGGAAGTACTGCTACAGTGTTTCTATAAACTGTTTTAAATATACCAGCTGATGTAAACATTGTGTATTTGTTTGTTTATTGATTTTAGTGTTCTGTTTTTAGGTTGGAATGGTAATGAAGTGTTGAAATGTATCGTGTTAGGGGAAGACCTCGACTATGAAGGAGAATATTTAGGAACAGTGCACAGCATAGGGAATGGTAAAGGCCAAATTAAAACGGAGGTGATGGACAGCATTTTATACTGAAGGCCCCTAGTTGTATATATTTTGGTATACATAATATTTACATTGTCAAGGAACCACTTCAATTTCATATATACTAGTGGTCGTCCTGTGGTCGAAACTCGACCAAAAATAATTAATGTACAGACTACTATATTTTCTCCCCACACTGTAAATAAAACATGTGATTGGGATTTCCTCCAATTGTTTTGATTTTCTGTTTACATTTTGTTGTTATTTCGTCACCATCATGGCAACCCAGTTGGTCCATGTTAATTTTTTGAAGTTTTCAAATTCGTTTTTTGTGCTTATTTTTTAGCCTATTTTAATTTATAAAGGGATTCTGCACATCTACAGGCAAATATCTTTCTAACAGTATGCGTAGATTTTCCCTGCGATGCACATGAGCTGAGAAAAAAGGTTTTAAAGAAACATGCTTGCCTATTAATATATAGACGAGAGGTCGCCCAGTGGTCGAAACTCGACCAAAAATGTAATGTACTCACTTCTCTATTTTCACCCCACACTGTAAATAAAACATGTGATTGGAGTTTCTTCCATTTGTTTTGATTTTCTGTTTATATTTAGTTGTTATTTCGTCACCAGCATGGCAACGCATAAGATCCATGTTAATTTTTTTCAAATTTTTAAACTCATTTTTTGTGCTTATCTTTGAGCCTATTTAAATTTATAAAGGGATTCTGCACACCTACAGGAAAATTGCTTTCTACCGGTTTGCGCAGATTTACCCCACGATGCACACAAGCTGAGAAAAAAGGTTTTAAAGAAACATGCTTGCCTATTAATATATAGATAGATAGATTATTATTTATTTTATTTTATAGTTAACTACCTGATCCATTGTAAGTGAACCAATTTTCTCCACACTCTGTCTCAGTATGGACATTTTACGTTTTATTTATAAGCAGGCTTGCTGGCTACTGTTACAATTATTATTCGTGATAGTTTCAACTAATTTATTTAATAATTTGTTTGTACTAAGCTACTCTATTACTAATTTAGTTTGTCATTATTTATTTTTGAATAAAAATTTAACTTCTTCCAACCTTGGGTCCTCCAGAATTTTGTTTTGTGAACCAAAACATGTCTTTCTAAACCAAACATTATTTTTAAATAGTTTTTTAAGAGCAAACTTTCAAGTACTATAATTGACTATATACAAAGTAAATGGTATTTTATTATAGGATGTTTTCATTTACATGATAAAACTTGTTTCAAAAATATTTGAAAAGCTTTGAATACACCATCTTTAAATAAAACATTTCCTTAAATTTCACAAACTACTTTGTAACTTTACAACCTCTTATAAAACTTATCATATTTGTCTACAACAGTACAAAGTATAACCATGAAATATTACCTCCAGTAACCCGAAAGGATCAAAAGTGATGACTTCCAGTATCATGATAAATTTGAAAATAAAAAAAACACTCTCTGCTTCCCACCAAATCCAAAGAAGGACTGAAGCCCAAGAGGGTTGGGGACAAAGAGACACCAGGGTCCAACATCAACATGAGTCATCAAACACAGACAATCAGATAAGGTACAAAGAAATTATATGATTCACTGTGTTCCAACTGTATTTGATAAGAAACATATTTAATTATCTGCCTATGATTGTCACTTTTGTTAGAAAATGTTAGTCAAATATTCAGTAAATACATGATCGAGTAATAGTTTTGTACTTTAAACTAATATTTGATGATTTTGATTAGTTTCCTGAATAACTTTAGTGTATTTGCAACTTTCAGTCCCTAGCCTAACATATTTTTTAACATAAAAAAAAACTTTGGTTTTTGATATTGTTGTATTTATTGCTTTAATGACAATCATTATTCAATAGTATATTACGTTACTAGTCCTGAAAATAGGTGTTTACCGGGAAAAGTGTGGTCCTTCCCCTGCGAGACGTTGAGTGCAGGTTTACTATACGAATCCGGTAAACACATTTTGGACGAGTGACGTACAATATTTTACACCATACTACTCTAAGCTAACTTATACAAATATTTGTAAAAATTATTATATTCCCACCGACTAAATGACTAACAATCACTACTCTTAATTATGTTTTTTTTTATAGCCACTCGTTGCCAAATATTATCAGCTGGTTGTTGTCCGGTAATAACTCATTTCAGTACAGTAGTACATACTGAAACCACATTTGATTAAGCTGGCAGCAAACAGCTGTTTTCTGGACTAAATCCTTGCTTGGGAAGTTCGTTAAAACATTGTATTGTGGTGTAAACATTTGTTGTGTTACACAAGGTAAAAAAAAATTGAATTTACCATATGATTAGGTGTTTTAAAGGTTTCACAGGAATATTTATTTTTCAGTAATTAAATGGTTAAGTTTTAAATATTTAACAACTATGTACGACATTGGACTATAGTAGGCCTTACCTATAAAATTTTGAGTGATTTAAAGAATAATTTTAGTAAATTGGATGCAAATTATGATAATTGTAAATCTATTATAGAAATGCATCAAATGAGTTAACAGAAATAGCAATAATATTTGTATTAACCAACTACCATAAAAATCCAAACAATCATACTAACATACTAAATCAAATAATTTTTTCTCTTATTGGTATGAATAGGGTTTTAGGCAAATAAATAACAATACATTTTAGAAAATGCACCAAATTATGAATTATGTTAAGTAATAGTAGCCAAAATTTTATATTTGTGCACAAAGTATGCTTGCTGCATTAAAAACAAAATTATTACTGTGACCACTAAGTTATATCTTATCTTATTCGTATATTGACCACTAGATCAAGGCACTTTGAATGTCACAATCATAAACACAGGGGAAACTATCCTAACAAAACTTGTAAGGAACCCACCCCTCTCACACCATAGTCTGATAGGCAGTTACCCAGTTGCACCGATGGTCAGGGGTGGCCCTAATCTCGAATGCCCAGTTGCACCGATGGTCACAATAGGGTGATGCCCAGTTCCACCGGCGTTCAAAGATCCCTTACACACTCCCCTCCCATTTAAATGTTGTTAAATGTAGTTAGTACGGTAAACTGTTTGGTTAGGTTATGTTGGGTTAGGTTAGGTTAGATTAGGTTAGGTTTACAAAAATACAGTTCAATAAATATATTTCAAGACATAGAGATTAACGTTTTATGGCAAAATTATATGATAGAGTTTTTATATCAGTCTATGTGTTTGTAATGTTTGTTTGTTACTCTTTACCACGTAGCAAAGAAAGGGTTAGCTGTTATATAGTCCCTATATATGGTAAATATTTAGTGTGGACTATATACGATGGAACGTAAAAGAGAGAATAGGTATATAAAAGCGTTCGAGAAGGAGAAGGAGCATCCAAGCGTGACAGATTGTTGACTGCCGGTGAAACTGGGCACTCTTGGGAGGGAGGACTTTGTCGACCCTTGGAAATTCCTTTGACCATCGGTGCATCTGGGCATCAGCCGTCTGATATGCTATCCACTAGGCTAGCAACACACACTTTAAGACCAGATTGGGACACTGGTCAAGTACTATCGCAGCAAAGTGTTTCAGTAACATTGAGAGATATTTCTAACCATATGTATATAGTCACCTCCAGTTTTGCCACCGTCTGCTGTTTTATGTGGAGTGTGAAGATGGCATGACTCCTAGAGCTCTGGGAATTCATCTGTGTGGAAGCGGTCGTACGAGACAAGGCACCCTGACAAACAAAAGGAGCAGATACAGTCATTTGTAAAATAAATGAATAAAAAATAAATAACTAATTACCCCGCTGCAGCAGACCTGCTGACCAATAATGATTTGTTGAATTGGAATTTTACTTGAATATTTCCTTAAATAGGCCAGATTCATTCCATATTATTTAGATAACATTCGATTTCAAGGATACATGGGTTAAGAGTACTAGGTCAAAAATTGGAAAACCCCATAAAACCCTCATTAACATAGTCTGATCATGCTGGTTCACAAACTCGTATGATCGTACAGTTGAACCTCATTTGTACGAACCTCGATAAAACAAATTCCTCGATAAGACGAATTTTTTTTTAATCCCCTTGACACTTTCATATAGGTCAATGCTAAAAACACCTCTATACAACGTAGTAATTAAGTTAAAAACCTCCATAATACGAATTTGTTTGTGACATGGGCTAGGACTGATTAACCTCTATACAACGAATATTCTTAGCACAAAACCTCTACAAGACGAACGTGACCTCTATAAGACGAATTTATCAAAATCTTAACCTCCATAGTACGTAGTTTTCAAAACAAACAGAAGCTTGTCTCAACATGAAACCCCTACCCATTCCTCCTCCTTCCTCAGTCATTGTTTGGAAAAACCTTGGAGCGAGGAGAAACCTCTATAAGAAGAATAACAGCAGCATTAAACCTCGATAAAACGACCCTCTTTATTAAGAATACCTCTATAATACGAATTTTTCCCGTACCCCTTGAAATTCGTCTTATAGAGGTTCAACTGTATATTTACAAAAATGGACCAAATTTCATCAAAATGGACGGATCAAAAACGGACACACACACACAAATGTACTGTATATGCATTTAAATGGATAGTGTTTTTGGCCTCTGGGAACCACAAAATGAAAAAGTAAATCGGTCCTGAGACTACGTCTTACCATGAGACCTACGGTAATAGCTTATTCCCTATATGGGAAATTCGCTGAAAGCAGTTAGATAATATTTTGAATAGTATTACATTTACAATAATTGACTTTTTATTCTGAACTAAAGGAGGAAGTACATAATAAACTATTCTTAAACTTACTGTATAGTTTTAATCTACTCCCACCAAATTGTTGAAGGATACATTACTATATTTTATTTTTAGTTACTTACAACAACTGTAACACCAAAAAATACTGTATATTCCAAGTATTGTTCTATCATAGTTTTGTGTTATTCACTACAACTAGTACTTTTGTGATATTTATTTATGAATTATCTTTTACTAGTATCTAATAGTCAATGGTATTATTTACACAATATAAGTACAAAATATATGAACATGATGTTACTAACCTGTCTAAGACACTTTAATGCCTCGTCCGCATTGTGTACATTGACAGAGGTGACTCCCGTTACGTAGATGGAATGGTTTGCATCCTCGTGAATCTTGATGCCACTCTTACACTGGAAAACATTAACTTCTTTCGTCAACTTTCTTACGAATCGGAAATGTTCTATGTAGTCTATAAGAGGCATTTTTCTATTAGAATCTATGACAGTGAAATTTTGTGTGAAATAATTACACACACTTTGACAGAGAAAGAGGTACAAACTCCCCAAATATTTGACAATATTCTCAGTGACGAGAGGTCGAACCCAACTAAACTGGCAACACACCCACAACGGAAGGCTAATGTGTGCAATGTCACACATGCCATCATCAATGTTGATCGTTGATCTTGTTTACGTTAAAAAATAAAAATACCCCCGCCGCAGCAAACCTGCAGACTAAGCGAATTTCAAATTGTCTGATTACATTTTTACTAAAATATTTCCATAAATGAGACATATTTATTCACAATTTAAATAACATTAGATTTAACCAGAGCTTAGGTTTGCTGCTACGGGGAATGTAAAAAGACCATATGTCAATAGTATAAAATGAAATAAATAAATTTGCCAAATTTTATCAACATATACCCATAAACAAGTAAACTACAACAGTTTTCATTTTCTCCATAAGAACAACATGGGAATTTTAAATTACATTTTTTTTTTCTCCGTGACTGTTAGGCATAAAACAGCGCTTCAATATACTAAATTATTTCTTTTTTTAAGCTCTACAAAATGGTTGAGAAAGAAATTGCAAAAATTTTTATTTTTAGGGTTAAAAATGGGAAAAACCCATTTTTACCCCATAAAACCCCCCATAAACCCCTGTTCACATGGTCCGATTATGCTGGTTCGCGAACTCGTTCGAATAAACGTAGGTTTACACGTTTGTACCAAATTTCATCAAAATCGGATCATATTTGCTCGAGTTATCGCGCTAACGGACACATATATAAATATATATATATAAATATATATATATTTATATATATATAAATATATATACATATATATATGAATTTGAACGGATGGTGTTTTTGGCATCTGGGGACCTCAAAACGAAAAAGTAAATCGGTCCCGAGTCTAGGTCTTATAATGAGACCTACGGTAATGGCTTATTCCCTATATGGGAAATTCGCTAATAAACAATAATAACTGCCTCTCAATTTGAATATCTCTATGAGTATCTCTAGAGTGTATGAGTAAAAAATTAAATATGAAAATAAAAATAATATAGGCCTACAACAAAAAAACGGTTAACTATGCTTTCAAGCAATTTACCTAAAAAAGATATTTGACTTTAACTGCCTAAAACAACTATTTCATCGTTAATTTGTGCTAAAAATAAGGGTAGAGACGTTTCTTAATCTGAAGTTTACTATTGTAAACTAATATTGTACTAACTCACCTTTGTTAGAGTATAATCTTGTGATGTGTCAAACAAGTCTATGATCTCCTCATTGTACAGTTCCAGAAACTGAGCAGAGACCTGCAAATCACAAGAAATAATCATTAAACTTGCTGCAATCAAAAAATAGAATTTGAAAAAATATAAATAGAATGAACATTTTTGAAGGATCAGTTTTATCATATTTATTCTTAAGTAGACACAACGACTATTTCTCATGAAGATTATCCAACTTGGTTCTTTTGAAGAACAATACTATATAGTATACACCAGAAATCTACTTATTTGAACCATGCTAATCCGAATATCCAGCTAATTCTAACCACTTGTTGGGGAGAAACATTTTAAAGATTAAGTAATGCATTTGGAATTACTGTTTTTAATACACCGGTTACGGTAAAATCTGAGAATCAAAGGTTCATTATGATGGCAGTGGAGAAAATCCGCAATTAGCAGGAGAATTTTGAGTGTAACCGAAAACTTGTAATAATTGCCTATGGCCAAGCCTCCATTCATTTATGGTGTTTCGTAGGTACTCTTTAAAGGCCGTTGCAAGGTAAGAAGAATTGTGGGCGAGAATCTCTTTAGTTGCCACAATTGTGGATGATTGTCAAGGATGTTGCCGGTCACGGTGTTGTGATCGCGGAAGCAAATTTATATGGTCTTTTATGGTTATAAAACTATAGTACATCGTTTTAAATTTCTATGCAATTTTATAGCATATCTGAATAATACGGACAATTTCGTGATGCTAACAGGTTCCAAATTAGTTTAGATTTTCGAGACTCTTGTGTATAGTGTTATTCAAGTTATAAAACAAATTATCAACATTCTACAGTACCAACCTTAAACTGTGGCGGAGCCTCCCCCGTTTCCTTCGCTTGTTGGACCACACGGTTGATGCCGTCAAACAGATGGTTGATGGCACGGGGAATGATGCCTACTTGCTCAGGCTCTAGGTCTACATCAAACCCAGTCCCCATCGTGTACGTCTTCCCAGAACCGGTCTGAAACAATTGAGATGACATTTTGAAACATCTCATCTAGCAATTTAAAACAATGTAGGACACATAGGAATGTCACAATACACAAGGAACAGCTAACGTAAGAACCCGACACAGCCATTGTTGTTTAAAAATCTAATTCCTCCCTTCCCAAAAAAGTCCACGATGAATTATAATCCATCCCTTTGATGTAAAGTCAAAAATGACTTTGACCTCTCTTCGCAACCCAGTCCATGATGTATAAGAATCCAATCACTGCAGTTTCTATATGCTATGTAATATTCTGATAGCCAGTTTTAAAATAAAAATTGATAAAGTTAAATTGATCCATCGACAAGAGCTCACATACATAAACATATGTTGTACACCCTATTTTTTTCACCACCTTTAATCAAGAGACGATTTATTGTCAAATATTGGATCTTTTGTGTATCATCTAATGTCATAGTACCAAAGGAGGTAACTGTAGGAGAAAAACTAGACAGAAAATGTATTCTGTGTTTGGGTATTCAACTAAGTTTAATTTGAATAAAAATGGACTACAGCTGCTACATATAAATGGGATTTCTGTAAATAAATGGGGTCCAACAAACAAAATCGTCCTCTACAAATCTTTTACCTGTCCATAGGCTAGGATGGTGGCGTTGTATCCTTCCAGCGACCCGTCGACCAAGCCCCGAGCACAAGTTTCGTAAATGTTCTCCTGCTGCTGGCCCATGTCGAACACATAGTCGTAAGTGAAGGACTTGTCACTGCCCAGAGTGACCTGTGGCTCGCCTGGCGTTACTGTCGTACACACTCTGCACATGTCTATCACCTCTCGCGCTATCTGTGGTCTGATCCTGTAAACAAACCGTACGTGTTACTCATTTCACTTGTTAACTGGGCTGGGCCGGGATTGTTTCTTTCATCAGGCCAATAGAGGTTGCAATTATCACCAAACACCAAAGTAAAAATAAAATCCATTGATTCCCACTAGATCAGATCGCTCCCACACACGTCATTAATTATTAATATTATTAAGGTTAATTAATTAACATTGATTTAATTCCTAATAGCTTCTGAGGTTGTTGATAATTTACTATTTTACTATGCGCATTTGTATTGTGATTTGGTTACACACAGTCAAGGGTGTAAAAAGTAGCAAAATGCCTGACTGGAGGAGAAACTCAAGAAACCCATCCTATCAATTCCACACAAACCACCTCCTATTTGGTTGGTCACAACACCTGACGGAGACGAGATAGTGTTTGAACTCTCAATCTAGTATGCTACTCTTGTACCGCTTTACCACTGTTACATAACAGCCATGTACTAAGTGTACGTATATTAAGCTAAAAATGAATGCAGAGTGAGCTATAAGTTAGATTTAAATTAAGTTAGCTGTTTTCATCTACTATTGCGAATGAATTTACAAATGATCCAAGGAACTGCTCAATAAAATGTATCCCTCATACCTAATTCTTATGGAAAATTTTACCATAGGGAAACATAAACTTTAGGGACACTTTGTTTGAATATAAAAAAAACAGTTCATGACCAGAAGAACAAACAGATTGTGTAACGTTTCTGTCAACATTCGACAAGCTTCCTGTTTCACATACTACTGTCAATGAGAGCTTTTGTTCTTCTTATTACCACATCTTGGTGTTTTGTTGACACTTGTTTTTTCATCTGAAGAGGGAAAGCTTTCCACGAATACATGAATACTTTCCAAAAACTCATTAAATGGTGTAACAGTTGAACTGGAGTGTATGAGCGTAAGGATTTATTACTTACAACAAAATATAACAGTCAAGGTTATGTAAGACTTTGCAATCATTTTTACCGCACTTTTTGTAGCGGTTGTGAATTTGTTGTGGAGAAATGTTTTTTTAAATAATAATACACCTTGTACAATTTATATGCATGATGATTTCAATAAGTTGAGGAACTTAAAGAAAAATCAATAATCAACACTATTTTAATGGTATTTTTGTATTACTGTAATCAAAATATTACTTAGGGAATGTGTAATGCAATCGGGTAAAAACGTCTTTATATGAGCATGTTGGTTAGTATGACTGGTAAGGTCAGCCACATATTCTTGTTTGTTTTTACTAGAAGCTTGTTTACAAATATGATTACTTACTTTTGAGTAAGAAGAAACAAGGTCGTCCTATAAAATAAAACTGTGTTTGTTAGCGTTAGCACATACTGTAAATAGTAGTACAGTAACATAACAAATGTGCTAGAATTTTTTCAAGAATTTAACAGCTCTCTTTAAGTGGTTATTCACATTATAAGAAAAAGGAAAAAAATTAACTTGCCTTTTTAAGTCTTATTTTGTAATAAATTACATCATGGTAATAAAAAAGCTTATTCCCTATATGAGAAATTCTCTAACATGTAAAAACCATACAAATTTTGATGAATCAACTAATATTCAGTGAGATTTAAACAATTTAAACTTGTAAATATATTTAACTATGTCACATAAAACTCTAGGGATTTCATAGAGAAGTCAAGCATCAAGTTTGTCAAGTGTTGATATTTTGACAGTTTGGAAGCTCATGGTAAACAAACAATATCTTCTTTACACTGACTTCTCCTTGATCTATTGATTTATTTTCTGATTGAAGGGTCCTAAGTTCGCAAAGATTTGTTTATGTTGTTTTTTTCTGCGAAAAGGCTCTTGTAAAATTTCTTAGGAAATGACATTTTGAAATTGAACAAATAATGAGTTAATCTTAACTGCAATTATGAGCTACTTCATTAAAAACTGATGATATGCAAATAAACACCTGATACTATGATTTGTTTATTTTGAAAAAAAAAATCACTTTGAGAATCAATAAAAAACTAGCTATACATGTTATCAAATTTAAAGGTGTATTTACAGTTTTATTGCAAAAATCAGTTATTTGAAACAATACCTCTTCTTTCCTAAGTCACATTTAATGTACCACCTTCCTTTGCATTAGTTAAGATAAAAGATGCTAAAAGCTGTGCTAGTTAATGCCAAGAGTCAATATCCCTTCCACACCCACGCCTTGCTAAATACAAGGCAGAGACTAGTCTCAGTGTAAACACTTAGGACTCCTCTGCGCTCAAAACAATGAGGCAATAGTAAAGATAGGCATTTTTGGAAGCAGCTGGACAAAAGAAAACAATGGATACTAAAGCTGAAATGGAAAACAATCCAAAACTTGTCTAGTCAGTATTTTTTTGGTTTTTTGTCTCTTTCGATAATTTTTGAATATTGAAAATAAATAATGCTGCTTGAACACAGATTCTAAGGAGATTTTATAGTTATTAATTTCAATTTCCTATAGATCTACTTATATTTCCACTTATATTTTACTTAATTTCCAACCTACTTATAGTGTAGAAAAAAGTTGCAATACTAACATTGATTACTGGTTCATAATTTTACCAAATTATAAAAAACCAATCTGATTGCTTCTTTTCAATCAGCTGTCAATCAGGATAAACATTATAACTTATTTAACAGCTGATATAACTTCTATTTGACTTATTATTCTTATCTACATCCAACTGTAAAGTTAACACTGATAACATAACAGCCCAAAACTGGAGACAATTATTCCTGCCTTATATATTTTTGTTCTATAGATAGGAGTACTAAAAAAGATACCCCCGCCGCAGCAACCCTGCAGACTAAGCGAATTTCAACTTGCCTGATTACATTTTTACTAAAATATTTCCATAAATAAGACATATTTAGTAACTATTTAAATAACCTTAGATTTAACGAGTGCTTAGGTTTGCTGCTACGGGGAAGGTAAAAAGTGTTTTTTGACCATACGTCAATAGTATAGGATGAAATAAATAAATTTGCCAAATTTTATCAATATATAGCCTATCCACAAACAAGTAAACTACAACAATTTTCATTTTCTCCATAAGAATAACATGGGAATTTTAAATTACACTATTTTTGAATTTTCTCCGTAACCGTTAGGCATACAACAGCGCTTCAATATACTAAATTATTTCTTTTTTTAAGCTCTACAAAACGGTTTAGAAAGAAATTGCAAAATTTTTTGTTTTTAGGGTCAAAAATGGGAAAAACTCATTTTTACCCCATATAACCCCCCATAAACCCCCGTTCCCATGGTCCGATTATGCTGGATCGCGAACACGTTCGAATAAACGTAGGTTTACACGTTAGTACCAAATATCATCAAAATCGGATCATTTTTGCTCGAGTTATCGCGCTAACGGACACATATATATATATATATATATATATATATATAAATATATATATATAAGTAGGCTACCCAATGATTTAAGACAAATCTAAGATGGCGGCATCTAACCTTAGGTATACTAACACCCATGTTGTATAACCTCACTTTAGGTGTACCCACGTGGTCTAACCATACTTTTACCCACGTGGTCTAACCACACTTTTACCCATGTGGTCTAACCACACTTTTACCCACGTGGTCTAACCTTACTTTTTATTTTTGTGACTAACCTCACATTCCCGCCAACTCCTGCTAAGAGACACCTATGTTAACATTTCATGGATGGTTTGTATTTTTGTGATGACGTGTAATCTGAATAATGTTATTCTCTAGTAACTTGCTGTGTATAAACCATTGATCCCAGAGGTTTTCGGGTTCGAATCTTACCAGTCAATAAATGTCTCATTTCCGGTTGGGGTGATATGTTGATTTTTGGTGTTGTATTGTACTTAACTGTTTGTATATGAACCATTGATCCCAGAGGTTTTCGGGTTCGAATCTTACCAGTCAATAAATGTCTCATTTCCTGTTGGGGTGATATGTTGATTTTCGGTGTTGTATTGTACTTAACTGTTTGTATATGAACTATTGATCCCAGAGGTTTTCGGGTTCGAATCTTACCAGTCAATAAATGTCTCATTTCCGGTTGGGGTGATATGTTGATTTTCGGTGTTGTATTGTACTTAACTGTTTGTATATGAACTATTGATCCCAGAGGTTTTCGGGTTCGAATCTTACCAGTCAATAAATGTCTCATTTCCGGTTGGGGTGATATGTTGATTTTCGGTGTTGTATTGTACTTAACTGTTTGTATATGAACCTTTGGCCCCAGAGGTTTTCGGGTTCAAATCCTACCAGTCATTAAACTTTCATTTCCGGTTAAGGATGATATGTTGATTTTCGGTGTTTTGTTGTAGTCTCTTGTCTGTGTATGAGCTTTTGATCCCAGAGGTTTGTGGGTTTGAATCCTATCAGTCGCGAAATATTTCATTTCCGGTTAAGGGTGATATGTTTATTTTCGGTATCGTGCTGTATTGTAGTCTCCTGTCTGTGTATGCGCCTTTGATCTCAGAGGTTTACGGGTTCGAATCCTACCATTCACTAAACGTTTAATTTCTGATTGGGGTGATATGTTGATTTTCGGTGTTGTATTGTAGTACCCAAGTTTTACCTTAGTTTATATATTATATCATATATTATATGTCATGTATTGTATTCAATCTTGACGTTTGCTATACAATGTAAAAACTGTCTTAAAGCAATAAAAAACTATTATTATTATAGTTAACTGTTTGTATATGAACTTTAGGTCCCAGTGGTTTGCGGGGTTGAATCCTACTAGGCACCAAATGTTCATTTCCGTTTTGGATGATATGTTGATTTTCGGTGTTTTATTGTAATCTCCTGTCTGTGTATGAGCCTTTTAATCCCAGAGGTTTGCGGATTGAATCCTACCAGTCACCATATGTTTCACTTCTGGTAGGGATGATATTTTGTATTTTTTGTATGGTATTGAGAGTTAAGCGTGAACCTTTGATACCAGAGGTTGCAGGTTCGAGCAGCCACCGATTGTATAATTTCTGGTT